TAGAATAGTTGACTCATAAATGTGATATTTTGATGTGATATTTCAATACTTGATTACAAATTATTTTTGCTAAAAAAAAAAAAATGCTGCATTATATAAAAACAATTCATTTGATAATCAAAAAAAATCTTTTTTTTATATAGAAAGTCTGATGATTTTAGATAAAAAAAGATCAAAGAAAGATTACTTTTATTACAAACCTTTTTTACATTTATTTTTTTTGCTTTCATTATAATTTTTAACAAAAATTGGCAGAAAAAATAAAATAAAATATTTAAAACGAAAGAGAAACTGAAGAAGGAAACAACAACAGCGAGAACAGTGGCAGCAGAGGTAGCAGCAACAACAACAACAACAACATGAGAAACCTCAGAGCAAACCTCGATGAGGAAATGGAGCCGCAGGAATTGTTAGTAGTGGAACGTGATAGGCATGCATGTTTTATTGTCGATCTCTTAGAGGTTATAGAATGTAAGCTACCTTTAAAATTTGATCATTAGCCTTTTTCAAAATTTATCGCAATTTTTATAACATTTATAATTTTTTTTATTTTTAAAGTTATGAATGTAGAATATGGAGAAAGATGATGATGAAGGAGATAAAAATGAAGAAGGAGAAAAAGAAGAGGGACGGAACTATATCAAGAATATGCTATATTTCATAAATCAGTAAATTCATTCAAAATCTATTATTTTTTTCAATTAAATAAAAATATATATAAAAAAATTTATATTTTGCAAAATAATTCATTTTATTATTTACATTTCACTTATTATAAAAAAACATAAGATCATATTAAATAATATTTTATCATAATATTTATTATAATTAAAAAATTAAAAAGAATTATAATCTAAATATTTGTTAACTAATATAAAAAATCATTCAGAATTTTAATTCATAGGGAAAAATAAAATGTTGATTTAAATTTCTTTATAAGGGTTAGTTTATTTCATTACGACAATACAAGAACTTCTTTTTAAAAAAGAAATCAACGTTTATAATAAAATTCTAATTTAAAGGTTAGCATATCTGACCCTAATGTTTACCTTCTATTTCCAGTGAATGCTTTGCAATTCTTCACATTATCCATTTCCTATACTAACAATCCTCTTAATTTGATTATTTACTTCATCAAGACGTTAGAACTAAAATTGACTAATTTTCATATTAAAAGAAACTTCATATCATTTACAGAATTAAGCATTCATTTAAAGAAAGCGAATATACATATTTCCTAATAAAATGTGTTGATAAACATACATCTGTGAATGGTAATGAGATGCTTCAATAATGCTATACAGTGTTTCATAAGTGTGAATTCCTTAGAATGGAAACAAAATTCATATTATTAATCAAACGTAAGTATTATTAACTTAGGAATTGTAAATTAAACTAAACAATTCAAAACAAAACTTAATTAATTGAACTGAGTTCCTGTAATCTGAACTAGGAAGAATTTGCTGATAGTCATAATCTATTTACATAAGTATCATTTTGTTATCTGTGACCTGACGTATCGATTGGTCACATCGTTCTATAGACTTTCACAGAAAACAAAGTGAGAAGTTACCCGTATAAAATTAAATTTGGAGGCATACATACCAAGAGTTCATCTTCTTGATTTATATAAAAAAAGCTTATTATCTCAGGATAGTATTCCTGTTCCTCAAAAGATGTTGTCATCACCTTTTATAATTTTTCTTACGAGTTCGATTCCCTAGT